CTATAATTTGTGTCAATAAAATTAACAATTACTTACTTACGTTTGTTACCCCTCGTCGACGAGCAAGGCAGCCACCAGGATTCTCTAACCAACTCTGTCCTCAGTTCTCCTTTACAGTTGTTTCCAGTTACAATTCATTCTGCCTCCAATTCACAACACAATGTAATCCTTTTTTCCGTTTCCCTTCAGGATTCGAAGTTAGCGCTTGCCACGTGTTACATGCTGATGATTTCTGCAATATATATGCTGTCCATCTTAATCATATTTTCCTAATTTCGTTTTACGCTAGAAATTGGTTTGTTTTATACCATAGTAGGTTTCTGCTGATGATATCCGGCCAACGGACACTGGGTATCTTGAGTAGACAAGTGTTTATAAATACTTATGATATCAGACTTTATATCTATTTCCTATTTAGTAACAATGTCTAAATGTTACACTACTTTTAATTTTCAGTGTTTATCTGAACGAATAATGAATACTGTATCAATTCTATTTGTCATGTCTATAATTCAATCTAATGTCACTGTTACTCATTTATTCAATGAATTGTCATAATCACATAATGTTTTCCCGAAAATATTTTATAACTGTCATCAAGGAACTTAATAACCACACTTTCGTAACAAAAAAGACATTTACAATTGACTGATCATATTGGCAACCACCAATGTCATTTATATTAAATCTTTCTTAATGTTGACTAAATTCTTGAGATCGAACTGATATACAAGACATTCGTCACTATTCAGCAATCAATCAATTTTCAATAATATTTCTGTTTTACAAGAGGTCAACCGCTACCTTAATACCTCAGTGATAATATCTCTGGGATACGGTGTCAAATTTTCTAGGGAGCATCAATTTCCACACCGTGCTGTTGAGTCCAAAGTATCACGAAAACTAGGTTCAAGGTTTCTTGTCGACTATCTTCGAACACCACCTGACAAAAAAACAGTTTAAATGTGTTTGTATCCTATAAAGTCTTGGCAAAAATGAGCATCTTTGCAGAATACATTGAAGTAATGATTTAATCCGTCACATTTTGCTACATCCAGTTACCCGTAAACTGACAAGCTTAATTTATTCGAAATATTTACACACTTGAAAATAAATAAGCCAACACCTGCAAGCTCTCATTCTATCATGGCAGTAACACTTAAACGTTTTATATCGGATAAGTTTTTAATACTTTCTTCTGGCCTCCTATTTCTAGACTGATATCCGAGCTTACTGATCCTCTATGAATATGTGATTCACATAGGTTCGAGATACCAATGACATTCCAAAATGATAGTAATAACTATATCAAATACTGAATTCTTTTCATGTAACCTGTATATAACACGCTAATAAACCCTATCCCTAAATACTGACTTCGAATCTCTAATACTTACTCAAAATCCCTAATCCGATAACACTACACTTTATGAGAGTACCAGCTAGAATTAAGATACCCCTTTAGATTCATGCACTTCTATGGATACAAAGCATTCTTGAATTATAAGCAATGTCAGTTCATGGTTTAAAAGCTTATCATAATTTCCAACTGTTATGAACGTATAACAATCGTTATTGTATATGAAACGTGCAATGATACGGAAAATACGTACGAGCAGTCTTGATTGCTATTCGGTCCTTCCTAACTGCCTAGCCCAGCCAGTTGAGTCCAGAACACAAATAACAGCCTCGGAAATATGAATCCTTATTCACAAGCACACTGGGTTATATATACTAACCAAACAGACCCAATTATACCAAAAAATAGAAAAATAACATTTGTACAGTAATTGGCCAATGTGGCTATGGATAGGGGGAAAGTAATCAATAATAATAGTTCAAAGGTCAAAATAAGGTTACGGTAAGAGGAACACGAATACAATTAGGTCAGTTATTTAACAACTAAACAATAGGAATTAGGCATATTACCTTTGTCCATAATAGACCTCAGATTTACCATTCATGATTCACCAGGGGATATAACACCTCCCCTTTTTGAGAAATCCGGAGTTGATATCCGGATTTTAATTTTTTTTTTTCGAGCTCCTCCTCCCCCACGAAATAGTGTTGGATCCTCATATACCCAAGTTTCTATTAATGCGATTCTAGTTATAACATGTTTCTGGTATTCCATAGGGAACCCGTTAAGATTGACTGGATGGTGAGGATCGACATTTGATGTGAGGTCAGAATTTGATTCTGCAGAAATGTAGTCATCAGACTTATTGCAAACATCAATGGCAGGTTGTGGATCAGTATGATAACAGCGTCCACCAAAACTGCGCTAGGTTCCAGATTTGATGCATGTAACAAAATTTCTGGACAAGCTTGGGAATCTTTATCACTAGATTCGGTAGACATTTCTATTGCAGAATGAGATTCGCTCGTTGAACCGCTTGATATGATCTCTGGTACTCTGTGGGCGATTGGTGCGACCATTTTATGGGCTTTTAACATAGCATCGTATTGATGAGAGCTGAAAGCGTCATTGTTAGGACCTGCTAATTCAGGGATAGTGGTGTTTGAATCCACTACCGGGCACGTTTCTGAAATGGAGAGTGCTGGACAACCGGGCGTCTCTTGAGAGACTGCTGTTTCGTTTGAGTTGCGGCTGGTCGAGGAATCATGGGGGCTGCGATCATTTGCTAGCTCTGTGTGCAATTCAGAGATTAATACATCCACTTCTGACGCATATGCGAAGCATTGATGATCCAGAAACTGTGAGCGTAGTTTGACCATGAACTCCAAATGTCGGTCAAATAGCAACTGTAAGCGGTCAGAAGGGAGCGTCATTTTTCACTTTTGTCCCCGTCGCCAATTGTTATAATGCGAAATATAGCGTATTGCGATAGGACTACGCGAAATTCTACCGATTGACCAAATTCAGATATCCTAGTTCGACCCCAGTACTGTTTCCCAACTCCAATAAATCAGAACACAGCCGTTAAATGAGAATTGTTTATGGGGTCAGCAGCAGAACCATTCACCATTCATGATTCACCAGGGGATATAACACCAACCCCAACCAGAAAAATGTGGTGATTAATAAAAATCTATTTGGATCTTTATAAAGGTCTGAGATAACTGATAGTCTATGTTCAAATTGACGAATTCATATGAGGTCATATTTTTCGAATAACAGGTAGAAAAACCCTTAGAAAATTTCAATGAATTCATTAGTTTTAATGGTTGAACTCATGAGTCAATGTAAGCTAGACCACAATTGAAAACCTGGAAGCACTAGATGGCCATTTCGTCCCGGTATGAGACTTCTCAACAATGCACACCCATGACCCCACACGCGGAACTCTATAAATCATGTTGTTACGTTATCACTAGTTTAAGTGACACAACATTGTGTTGATGGCGATGATAGATATATTTTATGTGTTGTTCTCGCTGCAATCTTTACATGTAAGACACGATAACGATCAATGGACATGTTAAATAGGTCTTACACTGCTTATCATTAATACTGTGTCTATACGATTGTTACACAATAAAATAGGACCAGATCGAAGTGACAACAGCATCCACCTAAAGTAATTTGTCTACCTGAAAAAAACTTTAACAGTTTAGAAAAGTAACTAGAAACCAATTGATTAAATTATGGGCTTTATAGATATTGTACAATTTAAAACTAGTTTACATCTCAGCACTAGGACAATCGTTTTGTCCTATTATGATATTTTTATGTTTTGAGACATCCTAAATTAGCCTAACAGAACTCCAGATATAATTTTTCTATTGCACGTCTACTATACCGTCTGTGGTCTAGCTTCGTAGATTTTACGCATGATATGATTTTACGGAGCGGACAACTAACCATGAGCTATCGTAACCTACACTCCTATCTGTAGGTGTTTCTCTTTCCTTAGCCTTGAGTTCAAAGAGAAGTCTTTAGTCGAGCTTCCATTATTATTATTATTATTATATGTCAGTCACCTAGCCAATGATTATGATCCCAGGAATGACTAGGCTTTGAAACTTTTTCTGCTCACATTTTGAACTTAGATTAGTTAGACAATCATTAAAGATAAGAAAGTACTGGAGATCTATCTTGTTCTAGTGTGGGTCGAATCCAGAATCTTATGGTCTCGCGGTGAACTTTCAAACTTCAGATTACTGACTGGGACTCCAATGATGTACATCCGTAATTTAAATAAGATCTAAACATAACCTGAAAACTGTTCTACTTAGTTGAAACTTTTCACACATTCATTAAATTAGGTTTATATCTTTACATTTAACAGGCAAACGAAGGCATTGTCATTCGATAAGCTTTCATATTGGTTCTTATGGTCATTGTATCAACAGATCTGAGCTTGTTGTAAGACATCATTATCAATGTGAATTGAACGTTGACTAGAAAGATAGTGACATTACCCGTCAGTCAAAACAAATTAGATAGAATGAGAATCTAAATCTAGGATCTAGTGAATACAATTCAAAATCCTTAAGCACTAAGCCACTAATCCATAAACAACTAACCAACCACACAAACGATTTCGCTTGAAATTCACAATAGTTACGCCATTCAACATGCATAACTAATAAGTTAAAAATGATTCTTAAACAAGACAGTTCATTGCACAATGTACAATTTAAAAAAAGATAGTTAATAACTTTGAACAGATTGAATTCAGTCAAAGCATTAAGCTAAAGTTACCAGGAGAATAAGTTCTAATTCATCTCTATTATTCATTTCTACACTCTGATTCATTATTATACAAATTAATGAACAAAACATAATTATTCTTTCATTTAATTTTAAATTAAGTCATAGTTGAAAGAGTGAGTCAGTTGAAGCTAGACAACCAAGGAAAACCTTGAAGCACTGGACGGCCGTTTCGGAGTTAGACATAAACATCATCATATGCCGGCTCAGTGATCTGTCAAATGAGTGCTTCGGCGCAAGACTGGTAGGTTCTGGGTTTGAATCTCGCGAGGCGAGGTCGTGGATGCGCATTGCTGAGGAGTCCCATAATAGAACAAAACGGCCGTCCAGTGCTTCCAGGTTTTCCCTGGTGGTCTAGCTTCAATTGACTCATGCTTTCAACTATGAAAATACCCAGTATCCAGTAAACCCCTTTTGATTAAGTCATAGTTGACAGTTTAATAATTTTTCTTCTGTCTAAATTAAACAAATAAGTCATTAAAACAAGTAGTTACTATGTGAAGATGAGAAAGCCAAATCCACCCACGCATATATCATCTCTGAGGTAATCAGTTTATTTAAGTTTATTTAGTAAAATAAGCTTTAATCAAACTCAGAAAAAAAACAATCTGAACAAAGCACAAAAAAGGAGAACAAAAATAAAGATAGAATATCTTCATATAGAATATTAAAAGTTGTTATCATCTTTGTTTTAATCATAGGTTTACTTATTAGTATTATTGTGTATATGAGGATTGGGATACAGTTCATTTTTATATTGTATATGATATGAAGGTGTACATTGATTAGGCAAACATGTAATTGATTCATAGGATTCCCATGGTTCTTTTGCATATACACTGTCTACATGTTTTTGTTTGTAAGGGAGAAGATGGCATTGTTCTTTTTCTCTATTTAACAGTGGGAAAGATTGCGTAGTTTTAGTCTAAAATATAAACAAAATAATAATATAAGAGTATGAACGGAGATTGTAGTATTTTCAGAGTTTAAATCACGAATTGACAGATGCTAGACTATAATTGAAACATGGAAGCACTGGACGAGTGTTTCATCCTAATATGTGATTCTTTTACAAACTCTCTATGCTATTCATAATGATCTTGCACTTACTAGCGATGAGCTTCATACTACAATTTCTGGACTCCTAATGAGAATCTGTGACTAGTGGAATTTAACAATGTCGGGTGTGTGAGAATTATTCACTGAAGGTAACAGGTGAGGGTTGCAAAATATCGTGAATTGGTTGCAGTTTGACAATGTACATCGTTGAATACTGGCCTAATAGTCCATAGGTTAATGTTCAAGTGGGAAACCAAAATATTCTTGGTTTGATCCCCAGTCGCGTAATTACGTATCACCACTTCTAAGTTGCCCACACTATTAGCGATGAAATGGATGTCCAGTGCTTCCTAGATACAGTGAAGGTGTAGGTAAGATCAGTTCAAGATAGAGACCAAAAATTTCTTTTGTTTCATTGATGTGTGGCTTGTCATTAAAAGAATACATATATGGATACAGCAGTTCACGCTATCCTAATTTATGGGTGTGAAACATGACAGGATATATTCATAGCTTACCAGTAATTGAAGCATCGCTCTTACATTTTGATTGCACCGAGTAAGTAATAACTTAGTTTGGGACAGAATACTACAACGAATTGAATTTCGAGGTAGTAAATCTTCATCAGCTAATGTGGTTGGGACATATTTTGCGTATGCCCAACCACTCTCATCTCAACGTGTGATGTTGTCTAGAATAGGAGTAGGTTGGAAGAAAGCTAGAGGCGGTCTACCAAAACATGGCACCAGTTCATAAAGTTATTAACAATTAAACTGGATTATGTTAATAGATTAGGATCTGCGTGATTATCGTAACAAATGGTTATAGACCCTGAATGACAAAGCTCAAAATCTCTCACAATGGGGTTGGTACATCCTCTCTTTGTCTTCTCCTGGATGCTTTATTACTAAAGTCTCCATATTTTTTGATTTAACGAATTTGCTTTTCATAGGGTATCTTCACCTGAATTACACTTACATGTTCATCGTATACAACCACCGATAAGTCTAGAATTCTTTAGTGAAACCTACGCTATAATATTCAATTTTCACTTACTAAATGGACATGAAAACATTCGAAAATGCTGTGGATAAGTTTAGTCGTACACAAATGACCAAGATTAAAATGATTCGTCAGATATACCTTTAAAATCAAAAAGACAATTGTCACTATCAAACAAAACATGTAGTTTTCACTAAATGATTGTAACAAAAAGAAAGTCAAAAATACTGATCACCAGAAAAAAATTATTATATGAAAGCAATCGGTGCGATTGGTAAAGGAAGAGAACATTTCTACAATTAACGAATATCTGCAACTCAAAACACGTGTCAGTCAACATCAAAGTGAGAATACGAACATCAAGACAGTTCTGCTGTACAGATCTGAAACTTGAAAAACTACTAAAACCATCATCAAACTACTTCATTATACATCATAACCCAAATGTAGCATTCTAATACAATATACAGTTGTAAGCAGCTCAAAATAAAATATGAAATACAATAAATTCAAATTATTTCGCCTTAATTGTTGTTTTGTCTTGTTTTTTCAAACAAATAATTATCATTATAAACAAAGATGGATAGTGGCTAAAAGTGGAATCCAGAAAGCGCGTCTCGTCCTATTTGAGACTCGTTAGCTGGACGTATCTGCAACTTAGAGTTGATGTTCACCCTGGGACTCGAACCTAGTACCATCCACTTCAAACGCCATCGTGTTATTCACTTAGTTACTGAGTCCTGATAGCCACTATCCATCTTTTCTTAGAATGCTTGTGAATGAAGGCTATATCGAGGCAATATGCACAGTATATGCATATACCGATAAGAGACTGATCAATTTCAGTCCTAAACATCAATGGAAAGATTCAAACAAACAATATCAAGTGAATTTAAACAATTATCATATTTCACTTGCTTAGATTCAAGCCCTATCTATTTTAACTTCAAAGCTGAGTATATATATAAGCCTTAGTTACATATAAATGGTAAAAGTCAGTTAATAAAGTTTATGTCAAATGATTTACAATTCAATTAACCATTCAATCGTTATTATTTTTCGAATATCAAAATTTAATACAAATCAATCTCTCTCTATACTAGTAGGAAGTTAAGAACCGATTAAATTATTATGTTTTAAACATTTCATTACAACAATGACTATTGTATGAATTCATTATAGGAACTAAATTGAATTATCTTTTTAGCAAAAAAAAACACAGAATAGTTTAAGCTTACATTGATACAATATTTAATTATATACATATCAACAACAAAAAAATGTAAAGCAAACATTATGTAGAAAGAGATTTTTGTGGATATTATAATAATTAAATAGTTGAGTACATGAGTCAACTGAAGATTGACTACCATGGAAAACCTGAAAGAACTGAACGGCCGTTTCGTCCTAGTATGGAACACCTCAACAGGCTGGATTATGGATGCGCACTACTGAGGAGTTCCATACTAAAACGAAACAGCGATCTAGTGTTTCCAAGTTCTACATGGTGGTTTAGCTTAAATTGATTCATGAACTCAACTATGAAACACTAACTGGTTACATGAATTAATAATAAATACTCTTTTTCTAAATGGAAACCATTTCAGGAAACATTAAATGCCGTAGGATGGTAGTAAACAAGTTAACAATCTCAATATTTGTTTGGATCAATCTGTTCTTCTCCAAACATCAAGACATGACAACTTTAATAGTTTCATTAAATCAAATTTATGTTTAAGAGCCTAAAAGAAATGTGGTTTGTGGGGAATATATAATTTTATAGTTTGCATCAAGAAGTAATTTGGGTTATACACTTACTAAAATCAAGAAAGCATAGCATATCCATTTTATCTTAGTATGGTAACCCTCAGAACTATCAATCAATGACTCTATCAGAGATTGAATCAAGGAACTTACGATTTTACATAGTTTTTTTTTACCTTTTTAGTTAAAATCCAACGATTGGAAATGCAACTACTAATAGTTAATGTTCAATTGTGATTTCGGAACTCCAGTAAAAAGCCATGATCATTGGCGTTCACTCATGGTGTACGTCATCGTGGAGTAGTGGAATTTAGAAATTCAATTCTAAAGATACCAGCTCAGTTGTTCAGGAATTAGGCACTGGAGGCGATTTCTGATGGTCCTGGGTTTAGTTGTTAAATGGGGTCATGGTTGCCTATTTCTGGAAAATCCCATATTGTGGAGAGAAAAGTGTCTAGTGCTTTCTGGTTTTTCATGTATATTTTTCCAATGTCTGTCTGTCATATATATCACACAAAATAGTTCGATCAACTAAGGATATAAATTCCTAACCAATGGCGGAGAAGATTTGTAACTCAGGTGGATGATTTTGTTGTTCAGAAGAACAATGAAAGCTCCAAGGAATAATTCCTTAAAAAAGCTTTGACCAGATTGCCAGGCGAAACGTTGGATTTACTTCAGATTCATTCGCCGAGATTTTACAAATATATTATGAGATGGTGGAGAAGATTTGTAGCTCAGGTGGGTGATTTTGATGTTGGTTTGTTCTCTGAGATGGATGGTTTGTTCGTGTTTACACTTGTTGGCAGAACATGCCGGCGAATGCACTTGTGAAGAAAATATATTTGTTCTCGAGCGGAAGCTTGTTTTTAGAAAACCAAAGCATCCAGCTCAGAGAACAAACCAACAACAAATATATTATTCCTGTTATTCGGATATATTTGAATGACGTTATTCACAGTATTCAATCTTAATACTCAGCTCTCAACTAGACTACTCGGCCATGTGTATTGTGCAGTTACTGAGGTTAAACAGAAATTTAAAAAGATGTTTTGCTCATCATCAGAAATTCTTAGTGAGATGAAAATTATAAGTGAAATTTTTTACCATCAACAATCACATATAATTCAAAAAATTTGAGCAAGTGTTTGACTGATATTCATAATTTTGTAATAACATTTTCTGTGATATAAATTTCGAAATACCCATTATTTTGTCAAAACTTTTGAACGCTACTAACGTTTTCATAAGTAGTTAATAAGAAGTTAAAGAAATATTCACCATACTATGCCAAACAAAAAGAATTAAAAATCTAACTCTATGGGATTAAAACTACTTATAAATTCAGAATAAAAATACATACCAATTCGAAAAATGAATTTGAATAATTAAAATGATTTGTTAATATTGCCCCTAGTATGAATCATACTCTGGAATAGGCTTCTCTAGGGATTTTCGTGCATGTATATCACTTGTTCCAAGTGGTACTTTGGACTATTTGAATGGAAAAAAAGAAAAGCAACGATTGGTTGAACTAACTAACCAACTATTCCATGTGTTAATATTAACACGAATAATATGAATTGATCAAAAGATCTTTATGACGCTAACTGGTTTGTTTATTATTAGTGTTTTCCTGAGGAATTAAATATAAATTAACTGATTCTTCAGATACCCCTTCCAGTTGTTGAAGTCTATTGGTAGAGTAGAGTGGCTTATCTGGATATTTTGTTTTTTTACTCAGTAGCACAACTATTGCGGCAGAATAGTAATTTCCATAGAACACTAACAATACCCAAGGACATTCTTTACCAGTTTACGCTGTATACATACCAGAAATACACAAGTCCAAGACTCATAAATTCCATATTATACACATGGGCATATATGATGTATACCCAGGTAACCTTGGTGAATACCGTGAGTAAAGAATTTTCAGTCCGTGCTTCGATAAGAGTATTGAACTAGACTGATCTCTATCCAGTCAAGTGTCATTTTTTGAAACATATCCCTTACGTTACCCCGGAGCTGTGTCGTAAAGATGTTTCGGACTTTGGCTAGGTAGTTCGTTCCCAACTAATAAAACGAGAACGGACTCTATCTCTTTTAAATAATGAATTATACAAATAATGTAGTAACACTCAATGGTTTCAGTAGTAAACAAGTACTAGAAATACGTAAATTTTTTTCATAGACATTTCAATTCATGCAAATATTAATAGTGTTGGACGTTTGTTAGTACATTTTTTTCAAATATTGTTATTTTCGACCACTATCAACTTTATTCCTAGCTGAAGATCCCGTCTTAAATTCTCAGTCAGGAATATTGACATACCAGTTTACCAAAATATATTTTGGTAATGGGTAAGAGAAGTGAGTTAAAAATTTTATTATTTAACTTCTATTAATACCTTTGTTATTAATCGAATATTTTAATGCCTGAAGAGCGGTGAAAATAATAATTGAGAGTTAGTTTCTACCATAAAACGGAAAGAATATCTAACAAACTTGAGTCATTGAATCATCTACCGCTGTTCAGTTTTGTGACAGTGTACGTGACTCTCACCTGAATTTATTTCTTAAAAATAAAATTTGACTATTTAATGCTTCCCAAAAAGCTTAAGGAAGGCTCAATAGCACAAAAATGTCAAAACTTTGTGTCAATATATCAGTGATAAACGGTGTGTTCTGAATTACAACACATGGTTCAGTGGGCAGTTAAACGAAACCTGTCATTGAACTATGTTACAGATTTAATTTCCAGCTTATTTTGGACTGGTCAGCTGGATACATCCCAAGATTCAGGTACATCCAATTGACGAGTCCTGAATAGAATAAAGCGCACATTCTAAATTCCGCTTCTAAAAAAATTCCATCTATTCTACATAAACGTTTAGTTTTTAGATGTTATCTGAAAAGATAATCAAAATACTTTGAGAACAATTACTGTTTATAATTGGTTTTAATTAATTCTATTGAAATTATCTAGCTAAAAGTATGTTCTAGTAGAAAAATCAAGCTTTTAACTGTACATAATGAAAAAGAACTACCCCTACTGTAGGAGAGAACAAACCAGCTTCCAGATGAAGAGAAAACTAGGAAAAGACGCTCAAGGTGGATAACACATACGTTATACGAATCATCAACCTGCATCACTAGACAAGCGCTAACTTGGAATCCCCCAAGTAAAGTGAAAAGAGGCAGACATCAAGAGAATGAATAGCAACTGAAAAACAACTGAAAAAGACTTTCCAGGACAGAGTTGGATGGAGAATGCTGGTGGGCGGCCTAATTGGAACAATAACTTAGAACCCCTATTCCCTGATTGAATAATGATAGTAATCAATTGATCAACTGACCAAAAAAAATTTGAGTGAGAGTATCTTTAAGAAATTGATCGTTGATCAAGCTTTTCAGATGAATCTAGTTTATCCAATACTTCGAATTTCGAATCTACTATGATGAGGTATGTTCATCAAGTGTAAAGCGTTAACTCATTTGGATTTTTCCGTTAATGTTATGGATTAAAATCAATCTCTTCGAGCATATGTGTATCCTGTGAGGACTGCCCCAATACTGACAATACGTCACTAGCGTTTCAAGAAGAATTGGATGGTGGTTAGCAGTGGAATCAAGAATGCACATAAACACGCAGTGCGAATAACAACACTTTGGTTCAGGTACACCCAGCTGACAAGTCCCAAATAGGATGAACCATGCACCCTGTATCTTACTGCTAGTCGCCATTCAACTCTAGTTTAGAAGCTAACTTTTTGCTATTAAAAATGAATTTAAATTTAAAATTATTAGTATGAGCTTCTTACAACATATATTACTAATTTTGACTAACTTAAAACGATAATAATTGATATAAAAGAGAGATGTGGGATATTCAAAAGTATCTAGTAACTGGAGTGATATGCTGAATTTATTTATCAACCAACCCAAAGTAAGTCTAAGCTATTTATGATATAATTAAGGTTTTTTTATATTTGAGAATAACAATATATCATCCTAAACCCGATTGTCTTGTATACTTTCCTCTTTTTTTTCTATCTTGATTTTTTTTAACTCTTTTCAATATGAAAAATGATGAGACTATAATTCATGGATGACCTTTGAGCGACGCCAAAGTGACCTTGAGGATGTCCATACACTAACTAGAACTAATGTGAGTAATTAGAATTATGATTAACAATTGATGGTTAGGGTTAAGAAGTAGATTATAAGTTTTCATCACGAACTGACATCAGCTAAAATACCAAAACGTTATTTGGCCAAATGGATGAATGAATTTCATACCAAAATTCAAGACCTATTATCCTAAATCTGACTGGTCCGTTCATAAATCATACCTATTATGATGGCAATTATAACGAATTCAACTTGTCTTCCTTGTGAACAATATTATTCACTGATAGACACTGTACATTATGACAGATAGATAAAAGAAATTAATGATAAAATTTAAAAAATTTTGACTTTTTGACAAATTTTCAAAGTCTTTCACAATTTTATATTAAGACATATACAGTAATATATGTTATGCCATAGCGAAGATATAAGTATGGGTAAACTCCAGGATCTATTAATGGACGATTATTCTATGCACGTTCTTACTGTATAATTATTGAGGAACTAGATTGTGTATATCTATATTTATCTTATTATAAGCTTCATTTTGACCTATGAATTATTACTGTACGATTTACTGTTCCCAAATTATGTTCAGTTTATTAATTATTGTATTCCACGTTCACAGCCACATTTGGCTTGATCTTGCACAAATATTGTTTTATATTTTATGGTGTGATGTGGTCTGTCTGTCTGGTATATAAACAGAGTATGCTTGAAATAAATGCTTCGTATAGATTCGCATAGCTGAACCTCAAATTGGTGTTCTGGACTCAATTGGAAGTGTTAGGCGGACAAGGGACCCATAAGGACGCTAGACTGCTCATACCAGTTGAACATCATTGATTGGCAGTGTTACGATTGGAAAAGTCGTATTTCGATTAGTGGATAATTCACGTGGTAAAAACCGGACATAAGATCAAAAACGGATTAGCATACGTCCTCTTATTTTTATAAAGTCATAACAATATGGTAATTGTATGTTTAATATTTTTGTGAAATGTTAAAATACTGTAAAATTTTATTCCATGTATATAACTATTTACAGGAAGAAAAGAATACCATGATGAAAGCACAAATATTAGGATACACATTAATATTACATTTAACTTACTGGACCAGAGTATTTCCAAGATGGTTCTTTTGATAAATTAGATCTACGTGAGACTCCTATATCATTAGAATTTCTCGGTGCTCTAATATCTTGACGTTCAAGCTTAAATAAAGTTATAAAAATAGCTATTAGAAATTACATTTTTTGATTTTATAAATGAATTCATGAGCAAATTGAAGCTAGACCACCATGGAAAACCTGGAAGTACTGGATGGCCGTTTCGTTCTATTGTTGGACTCCAGCAGTGCGCATCCACGACCCCGCCTTGCGAGATTTAAACCCAGGACCTATCAGCCTTGCGCGCGCGAGCACTTAAACTCTAGACCACTGAGCCGGTTGGCATCCAACGGTGTTAATGTCTAACTTCAACTAATTCACAAAATTGAGCAACTGTCCACTATTGTGCTCAATGAGTTACTATCTCACAACAGACCCGGTTGAACTCCACTGGTCGCTGCTTTTTAGTGGTCTAGAGGTTAAGTGTTCACACGGACAAGAGTGATAGGTTCTGGGTTCAAATCTCACGAGGCGGGATCGTGGATGCGCATTGCTGAGGGGTCTCACAATGGGACGAAACGGTCGTCAACTGTTTCCGGGATTTCCATGATGGTCTAACTTCAATCGACCCATGAATTCAACTATAAAATTACTGAAATCTCCACAAAACTCCTTCTGATAATGAAAATAAAATTTTTAATGCTATTAGATGAATAGCATATTTACATGTAGTTTTCTACCGAAAAAGATAGTTCTTGAAAAATCTTGATGAACCAATATACATATTCTATCACAGTGTAACAAACTATACTATACTATTCATAAACTATAACATATTCGAAATGAAAGTTAATGTTAACATCTTATTAAGTTACCATATACGAATCACTTATTGGTGAAGGACAATAAACCAAATACTGTCTTTTTATGATTCTATATTAAAGCTGATCATTGCTCAAATCCATTGAGAAAACACTTAATAATTATAGGGTACCTAAGATATGACTAAATCACTTGGTCGTTAGCGGTCTTGTAGTAGACACAAATAGATCATCTAAAGTAATTTATCGTATATCTACTACCTTTCCTCCTTATATAGTTTGATCTCACCTCTTACATAAGCTATAAAGATTCTTTGTAAAGTAGACAATTATCTTTTACATTTATTGTCATAAATTATTACTTCTGATCACTTTTGAAATTGTTGCGCAAATCTATTTTATTCAGTACTCGGAAACTTTTGACAACTTTGATTATTTTACCAAATTATGCAACATTTCATCATTTTTTATAGATTTAACTCCAATGCTCCTCTATTTCACTGTAGACTACTATATTTAAAAAATTATCTACACTCAAATGAATTCGAACATCTAACTTCATACTGTAGTGACCTACTTTTCTTGACGACAAGACGATTGGTATGATGGAAACAATTATTATTATAATCAATTGTACCAGTGATTGTTTTACTGTACTCGTTATGGTTAAATGTATCAAAATCCCTTTTCGTTCCGTTGTCCATTTTGTCCGTCCAAACTTTCTTACTTTCTGTATTTTTGCCTGTACTCTTTGGCACGTCTCGTTATTCTTTCGATACCACGAGATAGCCAATAAATTTACTTTATCTGGACCTATTACAGTCTTCTGGTTCTCGACCTATCAAAGGAACCAAGTCGTTTTCTGGCACCTAGTGTTATTTTAGTGGTGATCATAGACAATGGAGACTCGATGCCATCTACAATACCATGACTTCATTCTGAAATGTTGGATGATGAGTTCAGTCTTTAAATGCGTGAAATAACTTTTCACTGCAAAGAACATTGTTATCTGATTATAACAATCTACAAACATGTATGTAGATTTTTTGTAAACTACTCATTTTCATATTCATTATTTATGAAAGTTATATTTGAGATAATCTCTGCAATTGAAATTTGAATAATTCCAATGTTTCATTCAAAAAACGTGTCTGGACTACTTGATGGTTATCATTACAGACTGATATTGGTTGGAGAACTATTGAAAATGTCCACAACATCTATGCATTATTACCTGAAGAAGTTTAGTCAAGGTTGTTGAACGAAACATTAGAATTACTTTGATTTCAATTGTTGAGTTAGTTTAAAATATAATTTACACAAATAATAACTTCTATACACTGAGAACCCGTTTTCTGCCTAACTATTAGTTTACATATTGACAAACATTCATTTACTCATTTTATTTCAATAGTATATATATGGCAATAAATAATAATCCTACCTCTTCTTCTAATGCTTTAATTCTCAATTCAGCATTATCCAATAATTTGTATAATTCTAATCGTTCATTATCTGCAAGTACTGTTCGAAACTTTTCATTTTCCTGAAGGATTTCATGAAGAACAATAGAATTTGAAATAACTTCATTAAAATGAATGTATTGTGTTTACTAAGTTATGGGTTCAGTTTTTACTTCTCTCCTCTTCTAGTTTCTTATGTAAATGCTATTCATCCCACTTTCCCAAGACACAGGGTATCTCTAAGCTACTAAAGAATAAAAGTGACAGTACATATTTATTTTGATGTGGTGGGCAATTGCTGAGAGTTGTTCGATTTATAGTTGACAATCACTTCAGTCTCACGTGCGAACATTCCATCTCAACAATCTCCACAATCTTATACTAAAAAATATGTTTTTTTAATAGTTGAATTCACAAGCCAATTGAAGCTAGACAACCATGGTAAAGCTGTAAGCACTGGACGGCCGTTTCGTTCTATTTTGAGACTCCTCAGCGGTGCGTATTCACGATCCCGCCTCGTGAGATTCGAACCCAGGACCTATCATTCTCGCGCGCGAGGGCGGTTAGTTGAAGTTAAAGGTTAACACCGTTGGATGCCGACCGGTGGCCTAAACGTTAAGCGCTCGAATGCGACATCGATAGGTCTTTCGTTCGGATCTTGCGAAGCGGCATCATGGATGCGTACTTCTGAGAAGTCCTATAATAAGGCGAGACAGCCATCCAATACTTCCAAGTTTTCCATGATGGTCTACCTTCAATTAACTCATGAATTCAACGATAAAAATGACTAAACATCTCCGCCCCCCCCCTCCAAAAAACTATAGAAAACTTACAATTTGATCCATTTTTTTATTTTTAATAATTGTTTGTTCTTCTAAACGATTTTGTTGTTCTTTTAATGCTTGAATTTCTTCATAATATTTTTGTTCAATATTTTGATGATATTCATTATTATCTTGTTGTTGTTTAGCTAAATTACATACAGTTTTATTTAATTCAATAATAGTATTACGTAATTGTTCATTTTCATTAGATAAATTTCTTAATGTAACAGTTGTTAACATTGATTGATCTGAATTGATTGGTTGATTATTGATTATTGATTTATTATAAGATTGTTCTAATAATTCATTATCTAATGGATTCATTGAATAATTTGAAAGGTTTGCATTTAATTTTTGTTCTAATTAATAAAAGAAAAGAAATATATGTATATATCAAATGTCAAACGACAATGAACTTTATAGTTGAATTCATGAGTCAATTGAAACTAGATCATCATGGAAAACCTGGAAGCAATGTATAACCGTCTCATCCTATTGTGGGATTCCTCAGTAGTGCGCTTCATGGATCCCACCACGAACTTAAAACCTATCAGTCTTGCAGGCACGAGCGTTTAACCTTTAGACCACTGAGCCGGTCGGCATCAAACAGTCTTCATGTCTAACTTCAACCAATGAACTTTATTTATACTTAGAAGTGAATATATTGAAAGCATTAGAAAATAACTAATAAATATATTTACTCCCCCCCTCCATTGAAATTTTTTGGGGTTTTCTATGTTTATAAGCGATAAAATTTGATCTTTAAAGCTCATCTTGATAACGAAAATGAAAAGTGATTAACCTTCCAGTATTTTTTAGTCGTTCTTCATTTAATTATGATCAAATTTCAATTAGTTGGAACTAGGCAAATTATAATCATAAAATTCTAGGCTTGATCTTACATGAAGTCGTGTTAGCATATGGGAACTACTAAGTAATCTTAACCTTGGATAACATAAATAATAATGGTTCCTTTAGATGGAATTTCATATGCCTAGTCACTTTTGAATACTGATTAAGTTATATACTTAAGACGTTTAAAAAAAACCAACTTATATTGACTTACTTCTTTGACGTTCAAGAAGTGTTTCTAATCGACAAATAAGTTCTTCTTGTTGTTTAACTGTTCTCTCTAATAATGGAACTCTTGAAACATTTTTGTTAAGTTTTTCTAAATCCAATGATTGAGATTTAAATTCAGCTTGAAGCTAAATACAAGTGATGCACGAAAAAAAGAAAAATGCCGTTTTAGTATCGACTAAGTATTGAACAGTTTTAAGTGTTAAAGTGTAAAGTTCTAAGCACTTTTCAAGCAGAATAACAATATTATATTCTGAGGGCGGCCTGCTTAAACATCTGGGCTACCTGTTCCTGTCATCTATATATTTCAACAGGTTATCTAATATTGTTTGTTTTAATACATCATTATGGCTATTAAGCACACAACCTATTCCGGTGCGTTTCTGAAAACTGTACAACCTTTCGTTGTAAAGGTTACAAAAGGCCTAATCAGAGATGTCGTGTTTGCTGGGAACATGCAGCAAAAAGAATATACATTATTCATATGTCGATTGATTGAACTGCTGACATCCAACTGGCAATCACTGAATGTTTATGATCACGAGCAACGAAGAAATAAGAAACGTAAACATGTTTAAATACTTTATGCTGAGAATTCGATTTTGTACCAAATAATATAATATTGAATAAAGCTAATAATAATAATAATAATAATAATAATAATAATAATAATATGGGGTTGTGAAGATTATTGAATTTCATTGAAATCATTAATCAATTAAAGTCAGATCTGGAAGAACTGGACGGTCAATTCTTTGTAGTATGGGACTCTCCAACAGTGCTTATGCACGATCCCGTAGGTGTACTTGAACCCAGAACCTTAATTCTTTTGCATGAACGCCTAACCCCTAGACTACTGAGTCAGCATCCAACTGTATTAATGTCTAACCTCAATCAATCCATGACATTGAGCGAGACCTAAGGTCCTATTATCTAAGAAACGCTAAAGAATAAGATTTTGAAAAATATTAGTGAAGTCAGTTATAACGTATATTCTTGAATAAATAATTAAAGTGTAGTCTTATGTGGATGAATATAAGTTATTGACTAGAAATTTATATTTGTTTAGTTAACAAAAACATTTGTTTATTTGAAAGGAATTTTGTGCATATTCATTTGATTTGTAAGGTGTATTCGTCACAGTTTGATCTCAGTCGGATTACCATTGAAGACCATTTCACAACTATAACATTACCAGAGTTCACGTACTAGGTCAAAATAACTGTTCAATCCTACCTGATTTTTAATAGTAACCCAAGTGAGAGCAATCTGTAACAAGAACAACCTACAAATTAAATGAACATCCATAAAGTTAACTCCAACCTCTTTTCAACCGTTATCATAGAAGCCTAATATTAAAATTATCAGAGGATTTTATCAGATAAACTGGGAATACAACATTGAGATAAAACCACCAGTCGGTTCCAGAAATGTCCATATTACTCATATCACTCGATAATAAAATTGAACAGAAATCATTGAAATGATAAAAACAAATCTTAGCCAAGATAGATGTTTTTCGTGATGTATTGTTCTCTAAACTAAACAGTGGAATTGGCGTGCTTTATTCATTACTGTGTATGACACATTCATAGTCTACTTCAAGTAGAACTGAGGCTTTCAATTATCCCACAAATGTTATATCAGTTTGTTCTGACGACCTTGCTTGTAATTAACTGTTTTTTATATATTCCATAGCATTCATTTTCTGCTCCATTCATACTGACTATTTCTGTCAGTTAATCTTACAGCATATTGATATACATCCACTATATAAACTCATAGGACAGAAGTCAGTCAACAAATGCAGTAGGTATAAATGAAAACAGTAAAATCTACTAAAATAGCTAGTCACAAACAAGGTCAATAAAAAAGGTCTGATACAACACCTTTGGAATATCAGAAGGGTTTTTTTTTGGATATTATAGTAATTTCAATAGTTAAGATCATGAGTCAATTGAAACTAGGCCTCCTTGGATAACCTGGAAGCACTGGACGGCCGTTTCGTTTTATCGTGGGACACCTCAACAGTGCGAATTCCAGATCCTGCCTTGCGAGACTCGAAACAACGACTTATCAGTCTCGCGAGCGAGATCGTATGCTGACTAGTGACTGGCTTCAAGAGATATTTCCTGGAGTTCTAGTGAGAAGCAGTAACCACTGGAGTTCAACCAGGTCTGTTGTAAGATATAAACTCACTGAACATAATGGTAGATATGTCACTCAATTTCGTGAATCGGTTGAAGCTGATTAGATAATAACACCGTTGGATGCCAACCGGCTCAGTGGTCTAGAGACCGATAGGTCCTGGGTTCGAATCTCGTAAGGCGGGATCGTTGATACGCACTTCAGAGGAGTCTCACAATAAAACAAAATGGTCATCCAGTGCTTCCAAGTTTTTCTTGGTGGTCTAGTTTCAATTGATTCATTATATCAACTTTTGGAATAGCTGGAAAAAAAATTCATTTCCACACAAGGAACATACTGACTATTTTCTCGAGTCTGTAAGTGAAAAGATACATAGACCATTCATACATATATATAAGAACATTTATGAATTTCATGAATATATATAAATTACTCGAATTAATTTCTCTTCATTTCTTTTTTGATGAATTAATTGATCTTGTAAAATAGTGACACGTTCTTTGTAAAATGTTAATTCACTTGCTGCTCGTAGCAATTTCTTTTTCATAATCACTAAATGATTTAAAATGAGAATTTAATTGAATGTTAGTACAACAATTGTAAATTCGACACAAATTAACCTAAAACAGTTTTCTGACTCTCGTATATGGAAACTGTACAACAAAAAATATTGATCATTCACCTGAAAGCATTCAAACCACACATAGTGTATGTTATCAGTTTACCTGTCGAATTTGATTTCCATTACACAACTGTTGAAGCAATGATGACATGAGAGACTAAACATTGAAAATATAGTTCAAGAAGATGAAATGAAATATTTAAAAATCAAGACCTAGGGAGAAGCAAAGTGTGAACTCATTTGCATGATTACGATCGATTCTGATTCATGTCACTCAACGTCTCAAACCAATGGTCACAACCACTTAGTCTCTAACTGAGTGGTCAACAATCAACAACAATTTTCAGACTACAAGTTAATGATTTAATGAATAGATACTAAATCATGCTTTGGCTAGTCCTAACATTCTTCAAACTTATTAATAATCTAGTCATTATTGCACATCGAGTTAGTTGGTTAGGCAAACGTAACACATACCTCAGATACCTTAGTTAATAAAGCCTCATCGATCAATTTATTATGTTTGATAGAAAAATCGTAAGATTCTGTATTGATTTTCAAGTGAGATTTTATGTATTAATTTAGTGTAGATTTAGTTGGCATTTTCATTTTGATCGATTCATTCACTGTAATTTCCCATCAAAGTATCAACTGTTCAGTTTGACAAATTCTATCATAAATAATCATTGGATCTAATCTATATGCAATTAAATAAATCTAAATGTGAATTTGTACTTCTGGGGTTTTATCAAATAAGGCTTCTTTGAAAGATTTGTACGTTTGAAGTAATCGGATCTAAAGAGAATAGGAAAGTGGAACTGCAAATCATATCATTATACTTAGTACCTTAAGCCAAACATCAACATTTCTCTATTGTTCCATAATAGGTAAATGGTGTTTCGAAGATATCTATGATCAAACAATAAATAATATGCACATCTTCCAATTCCATTGTCTATGTTTTATAGTCATAGAATAATACAAGTTGGCAGAAAAAACAATACTTCACCAAAGTTTTCTTAGAAACACCCTATGAATATGATATATCGTTTTCATACCCTATCACATCCTCACTTTACTTGAATTCTTATGGTTCTCTCTCATTTAAATCAATATTTCCTTAATCTAACTACTAATAAATAATCTATCTGTGAATGAAAGTCTATTCGCAATGTCGATAGTAAAATACTATGGATTTTAAAACATTGATAAGACATCTAAGAAAATAAAGTATTCTCATATGATTCTTTCTAAACTATTGTTTTTTCTTTAATCATGTTGATCAGTGGTTAGTATGTTGAAATCCAAAACTCAGTTTTTATCCTATTTGTGACTTATTAGTAACCAACAGAGACTGATCAGTCTCATCTATTTATATATTATGAATCGACTGTTCCTTGTTGTTGGATTGTGTCGGATTTTGGTGTGGAAATAGATTGACATTATAGTCAGGTTAATCTCGTGTTCTTGATCTGATTTGTGTTAAACTCCTGTAGAACAGACACTGGGTGAGAAATCTAGTGTAGATATTCGTCTAAGGTTAATTACCATCCCACATACGTGTATAAAGTTAAAGGACTGTTATAACAAGAAACCTGAGCGTTATAACAATTATCCTATCATTATAACACTTATCTAAATTGTCAGTTTACCACCTTGTTCATTTTATTATTTAACCCTTTAATGAAAATCTACTATCTATGCCAAAATTAACAAGCTATGATTTCAACAAAACAATTATGTAAATTATCGAATTCATTTATTGAAAATCGAATCATTATCATAATAAAATAAGAATTGTTGCTAATCATTAACCTTGATATCTTTTTACTTCACTCGAAGATACTATTCTAATTCATAGTTTAATAAGTTGAATTGTTTATTTGTTCCCCCAGCATGATATTTACGAAAAAATGTTTCTTTTTTGTGTAAAATAAAATAGTATTTTACTCTTAGGGTCAAGTGTTCAGTTGATAAGGGTGTACCGATGACCATATCATAACTTGAAACTGTTTATTGGTTAGATCGTAAGTATACAACTGTGAATCCTTATATTAAGATAAAATAACGGTTCACTTCTTTCTGATTTACAATATAGTCCAGTTAGTCAATCCATGATGTTAATTGTCTGTATATTTAAAGTATTTATTTATTTATTATTTATTATTATTAGCTTTATTCAATATTATACTTTTGGTACAATATAGAATTCTCAGAACAAAGTACTTCAACAAGTTTCTATTTCTTACTTCTTCGTACTTCCTGACGATAAATATTGAATGATCGCCAGTTGGAAGTTAGCAGCCCAGTCAATCGACATCTGAATAATGTACATTCTTCTCGCTGCATATTGCCAGCAACCGACGATATATCTGATTAGACCTTCTGTAAACTTTACAGCCAAGGGTTTTAAAACTTTTCAGAAACGCACCTGATGAATAGGTTGTGCGATGAATAGCCATAATGATGTATTTAAACAAACAAAATTAGATAAATTATTGAAATATCTAGATGACAGGAACAGGTAGCCCAGATGTTTAAACAGGCCGCCAATCATATAATCTAATAAATTCTGATATATTTATATAAGCAATATATAAGAGAAAATATATAAAAATAAAATTTACCAAGTAAATTTAATGCTTCCCGACGACTAACTGGTATCTCTTTAAGTGCTTCTTCCCAACCAGATCCAAGTACATTTAATCGTAACCAATCCCAATTAGTTAATTCAAAATTTCTTTCAATTGGACCTAAATAATCTGAGCTAAGATATTGTGGCCAATATTTAGAATTTCTATCAACAGATGATGGTTTCTCTGATAAATGATTTCGATTTTCATTTAAATCATGATTACCATGTGATTGATCTATATCCTAATTGTTATAATATACGATAGAAAAGATTTTCAACAATGTAAAATCATAAAAACTGAAGATCAATTTCATTAATTAAAAGATCCATTCCCTAAAATCAACCACTTCAATAATAAGACATTAATTCTTGGATGATATTAGATGCTGAATTTCTCTACAATATAATCTGAATGAACTTGGAAATATTAATCTTATTGGAATTCTATACAATGGTTGAAAGCTAAGTAGTTTGTCTGAATATCATAAACTTGTTATATCCTGAAAAGAGAATTATGAATGGTAACTTTTGAGGACTATTTATGGACCAATATGATATGTATATTTCTTATTGGATAATTGTTAAGTAACTTAACTATTCATATTTATGTTCCTCTTATTATGAATTTTATTTTGACTCATAGACTATTACTATGAGATTTACCGTTCTTGAGTTATCTCAAGTCTATTGATTACTGCCTCCCACATTCTCAGCTACATTTAGCTGGAAATTGTACAAATGCTATTTTCTATTTCATGGTGTGATTTGGTCTGTTTGATTGGCATATAGACCCAGTATGTTTGAGAATAATGATTTATATTGCAGAGGCTGTTATTGGTGTTTTGGACTTAACTGGCTGGGCTAGGCAGATAGCAGGATCGACAAGTGCTCTAGACTGCTCTTACGGGTTTCGTGTGTTATTGGTCTGATCGATAAATCATTGCTCTCTTATAGGTAGGTACAAGTTATAATAAAACCAGTGGATTTAATAACGTCCGCTGTGTTGGATACATAATGTAAATCAATCGCTAACTATGGTAAAACAAAGTTTAATATTACCTAGTTTTAAAAAGTTCTTCAAATAACATCGATTAATGACGAGAAAAAAATCCAATTGTATAAGTTCTCTATGAAATGAATTCAGTGTAAATAATTATCCATCATCGATCAATTCATTTATAATTTAGACTAAAAGACGTGGTCATTCATGTGGTGCAATAATGAATGACAAAATCTGATTGACAGAAAGCTACTAACCTGGAGAGTCTGCAATCATTAACATTTGATAATAACATATATTCACAAATCTAAGAAACTTATAATGTTTTAAGTGGCTGAAGATCATTTCCAGAAAACCCTGATTGATCTAGTTTTTGCGACATTTGTCACTTATCATCAAGGTGTACTTGCAATATACAAAGAAACTGACGTTTCGAACCAGTATCATCCAACTCTACATTTTGAGATGTTATCAATAAACTTATTGGGTTATAACTTACTGACTCACTACCGAAGTAGGCAAACATGAAATTGGTCGACACTCAATAATCAATCAACTGTAAACTCGTCATGTCTTTAACATTTAAATAAAACATTTCTCATATCTATGCATTAAAATACTATTTTTTCGTGTTGGTGAGATTTTGTTCAGTTTTCAACAAGAAGATTTGCCATAACGGAAGATTTTTAAATTTATCTAAAATGTCAGAATATACATAAATAATCACATACAGACCTACTAAAAATACTAAATAACTACTGTTCCCAGTTTGTTTTACAACCATCTAAAAGCCAATTGTCATTATCAAATACATCAATTTTAAGTAAAGTGAATACCAATGCAATCGAAGACACTTATTTCATCCTATTTAAGACTCTTCAAATGACTATGGTTACATATCAGTGCTGATGTTCATACTTAAACTATAACCCATGAAAAGTTTCGTTTAAGTTTAAACAAACATTCTCCCATTAGTTGGACTCTGGGCTAATGAAAGATATTAAGCAAGAACGTTATACTTTTGAGAATCTCAAGAACTGAACTTAAGTAAATCCAACGTTTTTTTGGGTAGTTCTTGTTATATCTGTGGTATGAATCATTATTTTCAAACATACTGAGTTTTTATACAAAACAAAATAATCAATAAACTGATTATAACTCAAGAATCGTATGATAATAAATCAAAGATCAAAATAAAGCTAATGATAAGAGAAAACACGAATATGAATAGTTGGTTACGTAACAATTTTACAATAGGAAATAGGCATAATACATTGGTCGATAAATAGACCTAAAAGTTAACATTCGTAATTCACCAGGGGATATAACACCTCATCTTTTTGAGAAATCCGAGCTCCTCCTCCCCCACGAAATAGTGTTGGATCCTCATATACCCAAGTTTCTATTAATGCGATTCTATTTATAACATGTTTCTGGCATTCAATAGGGAATCTGCTAAGATTGACTGGATGGTGAGGATCGACATTTGATGTGAGGTCAGAATTTGTTTCTGCAGAAATGTAGTCGTTAGACTTATTTGCAATAAAATAACTTCACTGGCAGGTTGTGGATCACTATGATAAACAGCGTCCACCAAAACTGCGCTAGGTTCCAGATTTGATGCATGTAACAAATTTTCTGGACAAGCTTGGGAATCTTTATCATTAGATTCGGTAAAAATTTCTATTGCAGAATGCGATTCGCTCCGTGTACTGCTCGATATTATGTCTGGTACTTTTTGGGCGGTTAGTACGACCATTTCATGGGCATTTGACATGGCATCATGTTGATGAGAGCTGGAAACGTCACTGTTCGAACATGCTACTTCAGGGATAGTGGGGTTTGAATCCACTACCGGGCACGTTTCTGAAATGGACGTGAATGGACAACTGGGCTTTTCTTTCTTTTCTGCTGTTTCGTTCAAGTTACGGCTTGTCGAGGATTCATGAAGGCTGCGGTCATTTACCAGCTCTGTGAGCAATGCAGAGATTAATCCATCCACTTCCGACGCATATGCAAAGCACTGGTAATCCAGAAACTGTGTGCGTAATTTGACCATAAACTCCAAATGTCGGTCAAACAGCAACTGTAATCGATCGGAAGGGAGCGTCATTTTTCACTGTACGAATAATGACAAAATGGCATTCACGGACACCAAAGAAAATGTTGGATGCTGATTGCAGAAAATGATTGCCTGATTTTCGAACATTTACAAACTGAACTTTTTTTGTCCCCGTCGCCAATTGTTATATCTGTGGTATGAATCATTATTTACAAACATACTGGGTTTTTATACAAACGAAAGTAATCAATAAACTGATTATAACTCAAGAATCGTATGATAATAAATCAAAGATCAAAATAAAGCTAATGATAAAAGAAAACTCGAATATGAATAGTTCAGTTACGTAATAATTGTACAATAGGAAATAGGCATAATACATTGGTCGATAAATAGACCTTAGAGTTACCATTCATAATTCATCAGGGGATATAACAGTTCTGTCTAAACATCTTCAAAGAAGTATGATCAAGCAACAAAATTAATACACTATTTACTGGTTAGCCATATGTGGGACAATTCATCGAATCACCTTGAACAGTGGTTAACAGTGGAATACAGGATGAGCGTCTCATTCTTTTTCAGATTCGTCAGATGGGGTTAACTATATTTTAGTGTTGACGCTCACTTTGGGACCCACTTAAAACGACGTCGCGTCATCCACATAAATTACCACTGGCTTGTGCAATGGTGTGAAATTTGATTCATTTGTATTGGTTCTTTGAATCTTCCCATAACTGTTTAAGACTGCATTTAATAAGTCACCTTTAACATATGTGCATCTCGTACGAATTGCGTTGATATTACTTTTACGTCCCATGTATTATAAGCAGAGTTGGTTAGTGGCTAGCAGTGGAACCAGTGGAACTCAGAACACAAATGTAAAAGACTATGAATAAACAAATTCTGTATGAATAGTTCACGGAACTTACAATATTTGGATTATTTTTTTTATGTTGATGACGTTGCTGATCACTAGAACGAGAAGAAATTTTTTTAATATTTACTGAATTATCCTTGATATTCTTTTTATCTGGTTTCACAGTTGAATTATGTTTAGATTTTATAGGGTCAGGTTGCATATAATTTGGGACATCATTCAGTAAACTGTTTAATGGGCTCTCATCATCTTCTCCTTCTTGGTCCATCACTTCTGAATTTAGCTATGTCAATAAAACAGAAAATCAGTAAATCATCAAAAGCGTTGGCAAATTTTTAAATTAGATTTCGTCGCTTATTTTGTGTTGTGATTGTACTACTAAAGTAGTATGAAATTAGTCATAGAATATTTTCAGGTTTGCAAACACCTTGAGGAACCATGAATAGATAACGCATGACTGATGGAAATCTTCCGTTATTTGTTTGAACATGATAATTAAAACGAATCCTTAAAAAAAATTAGCACAAACAAGCCTCTACTCCTTCCAAATCGAATCTAAAACCTTCAAACCTTGAAGAAAGCCTCTCATATCTGAAGCATTGTGTTAATATCTGATGGTTTACATTTCTAAGTATGATATTACATGCTTACCATGCACTATCAATTATGAGCCTATACGATATCCAGTAAAAATAGCTCGTATAACATCTAAATAACTTTTAGCATCCATCAAAATGATATTTCCATCTCTTTTGTTCACTTTAAAGTTGTTCATTAAAAGTTAGAAGTTAATTAATTATCTCAACCACAGCATTAGATAGTCAACCTCTTATATCGAACATCAACAACCCAGTGAAAAAAAGCGTTTTCTTAAAATTTAAGTTTCACTTCCTTACATAATACAAGTAGCATATACTTTCTCTGTGATAAAAATCGTCATCACAATAATGTTAAAGTTGACGCTAACAATATTTAATCAAAAGTTGTGAATAATTAATATCGTATACAAGTTACTTAGTAACACGAAAGATCAGTTATACTTAGATAACTAGTTGAACAGAATGAAAATAGATGGTTGTGAAAGTATTTTATTAGACCATATTTCAATAAAATCAGATGAGTTATTTAAACTACAAACTGCTTCATAGGCAATAATCATCCTTTGATAATCAGATTTTCAAGCTGGAAGACGACACACAGCAATATAGACATGTTAGGCCCCGATAACAATAGTGAATGGTAGCTTTGGGTTCCATTTATGGACCAATATTATGCATATAATTTTTATCGTATACTTGCTAAATAATTAAACTATTCATATTCATGTTCCTTTCATTGTGAGCTTTGTTTTGACCATTGGACTATTATTGTACGATTTACCATTATTGAGTTATACCCAGTCTAATAATTACTGCTCTCCCTATTCACAGCCACATTCGGCTAGATCTTGTACAAATGTTATTTTCCATTTTATTGGTACGATGTGGTCAGTCTGTTTGGTACATAAACTCAGTATGTTTGAAATACAAGGAATCATACCACAGAGGCTATTATTGGTGTTTTGGACTTAACTGGCTGGGCTAGTCAGAAGCAGGATCGATAAGCGCTCTAGACTGCTCGTACGGTTTTCATGTGTCACTGTTCCAATCGATAATTCGCTGCTCTCTGATTGGTGGTTTTATTACGTCATACATTAACTGGGCATCCACTCGGCCACAAGATATAACAAGACTATTCCAAAAATATTGGTTTACTTAATACCTACGTTTGTATCATATTATTATTATCCATTAATAAGTAGTGTTGTTTTTATGTAGATGAATATATACTTGAAACTTGTGTTGAAGTTAATTAAAAGTAATATAAAGATCCAGACAAAAGTGTGTTGTGATAACCTGCAAAATCTGTAAAACAGATCACTATCATGTATTGATACGAATTGGAAGAATCTCTGTCGTATAGGAGGACTGTATGATCTGAGTTCAAGAAAAATAAGAAGCATTAGTTCACTTGAGATTAATAGGTGCTCCTTACTGATAATTTTGCGCAACTTAGAAGAAGCATGCCTTTTTATCAACTACTTCCAACCATCTAAGATCACAATAGGGAATGTTGGATAGCAGATAATGTTTTATTTTCGATTTTGATATATTTATATTTTGGAAACACAGTTAATGCATATGAGGATCATTTGTAGATATCAAGTAAGGTGTCAATGTTTAAATCTAAGTTCTTACTGAGCTCTACGGAACAGTTTTGCAGTCAGTTGCATTCGGTTTCAGAACTGAAGTCATGAACCTATGACATCAAGTTTTCTACTTGCTAAACAAACCTAAATAAGTCATATGAGGTATGTCGAGGACGTATGGCAGATGAGACGTAAGTATGATCGATGAACCATGAGGAAAGGGATTATTCACCTTGCTATGACCATCTAGATCGGTCTAACCGTCAGTAAAATACTCATGAGTCGCAAGGTTTGGCATTTGACAATAAAGCTGTCTGTGCATTCTGTGACTTTTGCATATCTGAGTCAGTAAAACGTTAGGAAGATGAATACTAATTTAATCTGATCACAGGCTAAAAATGTTTTATCATCCAACAGAGAACCTGATCTATAGATTAAAGTAGGTCACCAATAACTTCTGTGGTCGTGGTGTACTTTAGGTCTCTAAAGTATCACTGATTCATCCTAGACATAACGATATTTTTACTTATGAATCACGTTGTACAGATAAATATGGATTCATAACATCTAGGTAATTTCCTTTGACCAGATGATCTCGAAAGTCGAAATCAATCACTATTTTCCCTTTACGAGCATTTTGCATGCATTTAATGAACATAAACCCTATACGAATGCATGTAATATACTTGTAATATTTTTTTCATAAAGCCACGTTGGCTTCTCGATAATATCATTCAGTGAAACATTGATTTAAAAAAGGAAATGAGAATTACTTTCAATAACTTTTTACACTGACTCTTATGTCCAGCCAAAAGAAAAATTTAAATTCATCATGTTTTCTGAAACTTCTGGGTAATAATAACACCAATCACCCGTCCCTTCAATGGTGGATACATTCAATGTACTTCAGCTACTCGCCCTTCATTGTAGTTGAAAAAGCCCTTTTGTATTATTTGGGTGCTTTTACCATCGACGTGATAGCTATTGAAAATGTCATGAACTGCTTTTACGGATTCAATTTGGAGTCTTTCCAGCTCTACAGGATTGTTAGGAGGTTTATTTGTTTATTTAAGATGTTCATTGACTCGAGTCAAGACTTCACGAGATGGCTCATCAATATAGAAGACATCGCAATCAACATAGCCTAATTTTTAGACACAATTTCATGTTCACACAAAGGGAATTTAACCCTTTGTGCGAACTAAAGCATTTCAAAGGGTGTGCATTGTTTTGTAATATACTTTAATTCTGTGCTGTTTAAAACTCTTTGGAGTTATTCTTTTGTACCACGGCGGTATGGTAAAACTACCGTACCAATCCATGGTATTTCATTTAGATTATTATTTAGCAGTAACACGTCTCGCCTTATTGCACTTTTAATAATCTTCATAAGAAAATTATTAAGTTGTAAGATGTTAATTATGTGCTTTCGTCCTGTTTGTTTGTTCTCTTCAGATGTAATAATCTTGTTTGCTCTTCAAAAAAAAATAGGATTAGAGAGATTTTTGCACCGAATAGATGTGCTGAATTGAAATCTATATAGTTATTTGAGGTTAGATTTAGAGTTTCGCTTAGATTTCTTTTAACTAAGAATCTAAAAAAGGTAGCTTACCTTGTTCATTTTCATTTTCGTACGTAAATTTGATGTGAGATGAGAGTGCACTGATCAGTTTAGAAAAAGATATTAGATGAGTCTTTTTTTATGACAACAATGGTATCATCTACATACCTAAGCCAAATTAGTGGTTTAATATCATTGGCAAAAATATCTGATTCTATATGTGATATAAACATGTCAGCTACAATCAGTTACACAGAGAATCCAATTACCATTTCGTCTGTTTACTTGTATAATGCCCCGTTAAAAGTATATAAAGTTGAATTTAAGCACATTTTTAGGGATTTCATAATTAGACTGATGCTTAAAGGATATCTATCAGATAAAATATTGTCATTTCTCTAGTAAACTACTAATAAACTTTAAGTATTTATCAATAAGAATACTAGTGTATAATGAGACAATATCATAGCTTACCATGGTTTCATTCTTTTCGATAATTCATTCCGATGTTTTCGATTTAAAATCATCGGACTCTTTAATTATATTATGTAAGTTATGTTGAAGTGGCTTTAATATGCTGTCCAGATAATTGAATAGTGTACATGATGGCGTGTTTGTAAAGCCTACTATAGGTCTTAGTAGGAATTTGAAGTAAACCATAAAAATGTGACGTCAATTAGTGCATGATTTAGGATATAGCATAAACCATAAAAAGACACCAATGACTAGTTTTAATTCTTTCAAAAGTTGACTTGTCTCTTATTTGACTTTATTTTTAACTATTTGAAGATATTTTGAATCAATCATTTGATATGGACCAGTGGAAAGACTTTGAAAAGCTTTAGTATTATATTCCTTTTTATTCATGACTACTGTTGTCCTGCCCTTGTCAGCTTTTGTGTTTACAATAGTTCTGTTGGAGTTTTATTCTCTGAGCTGGATGGTTTGGTCGTGGAGCTTTCATCGTCCTTTTGATCGACATCATCAGCACAAACAAAACTCCATCGGCATCATCCACCTGAGCTACAAATCTTCTCCACCATTACAACAATTCTGTATTTTTAAAGTGATTATAGAGCTCTTAGTTCTTTTTTTGAAATGTTAGATAATAAGGTGTTTTTATTTATTCAAAATATAAGATACTACTTAATGATTTGTATTGCCGTACAATTATAAGTGATCACTTAGTTTAAACAAAAAATGATCTTAAATATTGATAAGAAATAACTTCTAACATAATCACCAATACAAAGAAAAGATTGACATCTAATGAGTTTTAATTCATAGTAAAGCACACATTTTATAGTTGAATTCATGAGTCAATTGAAGCTAGACCACCATAGAAAACCTGGAAGCACTAGACAGCCATTTCGTTCTATCGCGGGACTTCTTAGCAGTGCTTAATTACGATTCCGCCTCACGAGATTCGAACTCAGGACCTATCAGTCAATAATAGACGGTTGCTCAACTTCGTGGATTAGTTGAAGATAGACATTACCACGATTGGATGCTGGCCGGCTCAGTGGTCTAGAGATTAGGCGTTAGAGCGCGAGACCGGTAGGTCCTGAGTTCGAATCTCGTTAGGCAGAATCGTGGATGTGCACTGCTGAGGAGTCCCATGAACGAAAGTCATTCATAGGTCGTTTTATCTTAGAATTTTTTATTAGTGACATTGCATTTATATAGTTATTACAACTTTATCACAATCTTACTAGAATTGCCTTTGATACACCGACATCCGAACTGATTAATACTACTTTCAAATGAAGTTGTAATGTGTTAATGTGATAATTTATTATTTGGAACCATTTTACAGATGATTTGAATATAAAATCATTTAAGATTCAAAGTGTAGTCGTAATCTCCAGAACGTCATTTATCTCAAAACTTGTATACGTTCTCTTTATCACATTTTATCAAAACCTTTATGAATGTTATTTCACGTTTCATTAATGAACAGTTTGTAATTTCCATCTGCTACATAATTAATTTTCGCAATGAGGAACTTAGCCAAACGATATCCATCTGTGTATAAACGGGTTTTGTGTATTTAGTCGATCCACTTCCAAGTGAATAAACACTAAGAAGAGTCGTCACCGACACACTATGTGTTTCCTTAACTCTGTGAAAATTGCTACTAATTGATATCTCATAATAATATTTCATCGTATCGATAAATAGTATAGCTTGAATGACATGACCTTACCTTCGATTCAATAATTGGCTAATATGTATGTGACTTTGTTGGAATATCTCCAATATATAGTGTTTTTAATCACACTAGCTACCCTACTCCTATCTTGGTGACTAAATTTGGAAGAAACATAGGATGGCCATAACATTTTATGACAAGATATTGACCGTTTTAACTGGAGGCCCTATTCTTAGTTAAAATGAAGACTTTAAATTAGTATTTTTAAATATTTTTGTCCCGCAAGTATTTCCATTTCTTTCGTAATAATAGACGGCACAATCTTATTTGTCACTAAAGAGTCTCAGGGCGATTCGAATAAATTTTTGTGGTATTTCATATACCTCCCGTCACGAGAACTAAACAGGTTATGGGTTTCTATCCATTTACCTTCAATAGCGTAAAGTCACAATCTAGCCATTTAAAAGAAGAGCCACGTCGCAGCTTGATCAATATAACCCAGCTAACACTCAGCATTAAACACACTTGACACAAGTCGAAATCCAGTGATCAGCCAATTGTAACTATCTTAGTCGAACAGAACATCATTTAGACCTTAGACTTTCTTTACTCGAGTAACTAGATCATCTTCACTTACAAGTTTCTACATGACTTGGTATCAGTGACCATAATTCTGTTTTCCGTAATATGTCCATTATTCAACTGAGCAATCTAATGTATTTGAACATTAACCTATGTTCAAGTGTTCATGTATTTATTTACCAACAGCGTTATCACTTCTGATGCATTTAATTATTGTTTATTATCCAGTCCCAGACTTTTGAAATTATTACAAATTTCTAGATTTTTTAAACATCACAATTATAAATTAATTTCGAGAAATAATCCCACAACTTCAAATCGGAACTCATGACCATTAGATTTCAATCGTCTCAGGTTCTAGACATTTCTTCCACTAACAATGTTTCACAGTTGCACAGTTGCACAAAATAAAAAATCAATAAAAATTTGAAATACAAACCAAATTAGTGGTTTAGAGATGTAACGATCACTAAAAGACTAAGAGATTCTAAACTCAACCCTCTATAGTAGATTCATTGATATGCATTACTGAAGTATCCAATGTTTCCTAATTTTCAACCAATTACCTAAATTAAGTCACTTTATGACATAAATGATGTAAACATATTTTAAGTTATAAATAGTATCAAATAGAGCAACGTAAATAAATTATGCATCATGAATAAAAACTACTAATAAACTGAATAGTTTAATCGTAGAGCTTTCATCATCCTTCTGAACGACCCAAAGTTTGTACTAATGATGTCGTTCAGAAGGACGATGAAAGCTCTACGACCAAACTATCTAGCTCAGAGAAGAAAACTCCATTAAAATCATCCACTTGAACTACAAATCTTCTCCACTACCAATAAACAAACTGTATATATAAAAGATTCATGACTTACTTCACTTGTACTAGGACGATAATACAATCCGGACATTATAACAAAATCTCATAGAAACAAAATGATAACTTCAATGATGAATATTCAATATTGTATGTTTAATTCAACTGTATGTTTACATATATTAAACTTATTCAATATATATCATATATATATGTACATTTAATGGGAATTTTATTGGAAACAAAAGACAATATATCTGTCTTCTTCAATTTTCTATATATTATATAATTCATATAGCAACAAGTTCATTATTATATCGTGATTATCATTATTATTCATTGACTAATGATATGCATTATTATTTCTAATCCATCTGCTTTGAAAAATTAAAACATCATAGAGTAAAACAAACTTTTTGTTCTAGTAAAAATTTTATGAAAGTATTTTTCAATATATAATAATAATAATAATAATAAAATATTAAACGAAATCGGTTGCTATGGTAACTTGTATTTTGTAATTTTTTTTTGAAAAAAATAAGAAATAACGTAGTAAGTAAGTAAGTTAGTAAGCACGGCATACTTTTGTATGTTGTGTTTAAGAAAACTATAACCGATTGGTAGTTATTGATTAATTGTATCTTGTCAGTACAGTTTATCCATACTGATATAAATGATATATATATTTAAAGATAGAAAGATAAGGTTGATTTCTAACAGAAAAGTTAGATTTTAATCATTAGATGTAAAAAAATTTTACAAAATAGATTATAAAACTAATTGATTGTAACTGAGAATTGTTGAGCGTGAATGATAATACCTTGATGACTTTGACAGTGAACCTACACTCGACAGAAGTAGGATTCGTGTCATTTTGTGTTGTTTACAGCTAACAATAATCAATTATGATCAAATGGTTTTGTAATCAATCGGGTCGTCCACCTGGTTAAACTTATCTGATTATCAGGACTCCCTACTTCTTACTACAGTAACATATACGAGACCCCATACATTATCTACCGGTAAAACAATCAAAAACACAAATGTGGATAGTTCGAAAGTTTATTTTCATTCCTTATATCAATATGTACATGAAGTCAGTAGAAATCAATGCATTACTTTGATTTATTCTCATTTGTACAATTATTATTATTGACAGTAAAATTGTTTTTTCAGTCTGCAAACTGAACATGACGTTTAGGTTTGTTTATTACTATGCCTGGAAGTTTTAGGCATTTTTTCGACATTTGGTTAGTTTGACACCACTCTGTGACTTCTTTGCAATAAATGATGCGGAACTTCTATGTGAAATTGTATTTTTTCTTCTTTCTGTTCATTGAAAATAGGTTTAACTCCACCATATGGATAGTATCAATAGTAACAACAGTTACAGTAACAGCAATAGTGGCACCAACAGTCATGAAGGCAGATTTGGCTATAATCTACACGGTTGTTCATCGATATGATTATTTACGTGCGAGCGTTAGACGGTCAAACTGCTCGGCAAATGCGTTTTTATAAACTGATCATCATCGCTCTAAACTGATATTATATAACCTTAACATATGTTAAGACTGTTTTATTCACATTTTGAATAGGAAAAGTCAGTATGGGTCATGTTGCTGTAAATCAGTGAACAATGTATGTCCAAAATCAATGTCACTTACGAAAACAATGATGCACAATAGAAATAATTAAAAAAATGAAAGGTGGAAGATGATCCTGTAATATTTTGAATTAGCTGAAGTTGAATATGTACCTTAGTGGGTGTTGGTCTAGAGGTTACATGTCTGTATACAAGGCCAATGTTCCTGGGTTCGTTCCTCTAGGTTGGAAGCGCGTGTCCGACCTGCCATTAAGGAGTCCCATATTAAGATGAAACAGATTTCCAGTGATTCTTTGACTTACCACAGTGGTCTAACAGAGAATAATTCGACATTTAAGCTATGACACTTCTATAGTCCCCATAAACCCCGTATATCTGAGAAAAAGTTGTTAATTTTGTATGCTACAACTTTGAATAATTAAGCAAAGAGACTTTACGACCACATCATTTACTGAACACTTGGCAGTTCAATACATGAACATATCAACAACTTCCTCCATGTTGCCTGACTTGCCAGAATTATTTTTCAAAATAATCTAAGCAGTTAAACGAATTGGAACGAATGGAGCATGAGTAAGAAGCATGTACAATCCAGATACTTTAGTGAATTAATAGTTTACATATTTAGTCTATGTACTACGTTCAGCCATTCATTTCTATCTTGAAACTACTGCCTGTTCTTGATTTTTTTTCTCATAATCCGCTTTTAAATTCACAATTCTCTTGTTATTGCACCAGTAAAATGTTTCGTAATTACCATTCAGTTTTATAGCTTTCATCATTGAACTACTCATACTTCAATCCCATTTTGGGTCGTGGATGAGTACTGTCATTGAAAAGTTGCTTACAAGGATCAAATTGCTGAATAATAGACACAACATGTGCACACAAGCACCTGTACAAAAAATAGGAAGAAAAATACAAGTATCATACAAATTTGAAAAGATTGTTATTATAAACAATATAAACAAAATGATTTACCCTGACAAACACTAATAATGACTAACTCTGAGAAGCAATGACCAGTAGTGCTCAGTCATATTAAGAGTGAGGTAATAGATGATTGTTACACAATATAACAAGTTGATTGAAGTAATGGAATATAAAGTATTAGATGTCAAATCAGTAGTCTAAAGGTTACTTAATAGCTTGAAGACCTGAATGTCTATGGTTTGATTCCCAATCTGATTGTGGAAATGTGGCGCTAATGAGTAATTCCATATTAAAACAAAATAACTGTTCAGTCCTTCCTTATTTTCAATAGTTTTTCAGACAAAGTCAATCCGTGATCTGCAACATATAGCATCATAACTATCATCTATGCCAAAAAAAAGTTTGTTAGAAATTAAATTCCTTTTTTTTATTTATCTTAACAGAAAATCAAAAATCCTTGTATAGAATATATATGATTCCAATGATTAAAACATGTGCCTGTATCCATATATATATTCTGTTCAACCTTTTAGGCACAAAAAAAACTCCCACATTGTTTATATTTACCTTCTATCTCCACCCCCCACCTCCGGTCACTTAGTCCAGTGCATAAATATAACAGTAGTTAAACGAGAACCATGATTAAAAGAAAATGTGATTTTTTTAAAAAAAATATTCACTATCAACCCTTATTAAAAACGAATTCCATGATAAAGATAAGAAAATGGAGTGAGAAAGGGAAAGATTAGTGAAAGAGAGAAAGAGAGAGAGAGAAAGATTAAAAGAACATTCAGACAAAACTTTGAAGGCAAGTAACACTTACGTATAAGAATAAAAAACGTACGAAATGAAAGTAGATAAATTCAGTTTTTTTTCCATGTGTTATCATCAGTGGTGTTGATTTGCTATTTTTACTAGACTATACATTAATCGATATTACATTATGTGATACAAAAAGAAATTTTATCTTGACTGCTTATTATTAAATGTTCTAGTTTAAATCAAGCTAACTAATAATAAAGTGTTTACTTCTTATATCTTCAATAGCTGAGATCATCAGTCAATTGAAGCTAGACCACCATAGAAAACCTATTTCGTCCTATTGTGGGACTTATCAGCAGTGAGCATCCGCGATCCCGCCTCGCCAAATTCGTACCCAGAACCTACCAGTCTCACGTTAGAGCACGTAACCGATAGACCACTGAAATGATTGGCATCCAACGGTGTTAATGTCTAACTTCAACCGACCCACGAGTTTGAGAAACTGTCTACCATTGTTTTCAGTGAGTTATTATCTCACAACAGACCTAGTTGAATTCCACTGGTCACTACTACAATATCCGCAAAACCGCTTTTGATTATTACATTTTCTTTTGTATTTATAAAATCATTGTACAAAACACAAATATTAGCCGGTTACTGCTAGAAGCAAAATTATAGGGAGGATGCTCACACGTCTGTTGCTTGGAAGTTTGTTACTGGTTACCTGGCTCATGCCTATAAATCTAGACTAATTTTATACTTAATTCCAAATCACTGAAAAAGGGAACAAAGTATAAATAGAATCTCTACTCTAAAATTAATCCATTTCCATGAAATCGAGTACATTTACTGAGTTTTAGCTGACCTTGATCTTCTAGAAACTTCTAGAAGCATATTAAGTGCTGTAATTATTCAATCACAATGTGTTACATAATCCATCTTTTTTATCTAGATGTTTCTAAGACGCTTTCATTCAATGTTGACTGGATGAAACGTCTTCTACATTCTTCTAGGCGTCAAGAGATTTCGTTCAGAGATATTCATGAACTTTCAAGAGATGCTCAAGATTTTTAATTTTGCTGAATGAGTTCAGATCAAAAAAACGTATCATTCATCGTTGTACCGTGTAAATTATTCAAGATAACAAGAAATACGAAATAAAACACTTTAAACTTTAATTTTTCTTGTCACAAACTGACTAATAGTAAATGATGGAACATCAAACACCTTTAAAAATCTATATAGCCGACTTGTACTACATATAGACTATTAAAAAGAATGAACAGCTTTGAATCACTGTTATAAACGCTTAAAACTGACACAAGAAGACACAAGTAAAAAGATGAAAATGATTTCAGAAATAGATTTAATTTACTTTTCAAAAGACATATTGACTTTTGTAACCAAAGTACTTTAAAAAGTTTACAAACATTTGATCACTAGTTAACGAATATTACTTACAACCGGAAAAAAACTATAAAAAGGAAACTATACACTGACTTATTACGAAACAAACAGTCTATATCCTACTAAACGAAATTTATAGTAAATTAATGAATAGAAAAGTGTATTAAATATCTGTTATATCGATTGAGTGCGTGCCCTGTTATTATCTATGAACGTGATAAGACCGCCCAATTAGAGAGCAGTGATTTATCGATCGCCCTATGATACACAAAAGCCTTATGAGCAGTATTGAGTACTTATTAGTCCTGCTTTCTGCCTAGCCCAGACAGTTAAGTCCAGAACACCAATAACAGCCTCTGCAATATAAGTCATTTATTTCAAACATACTGAGTTTATATACCAATCAAACAGACCACATCTTACCATAAAATAGGAAACAACATTTGTACAAGATTTAGCCAAATATGGCTGTGAATGTAGGAGATAGTAATTGATAGACAGGGCAAAACTCAAGAATGGTAAATCGTATAATAGTAGTTCATAAGTCAAAATAAAGCTTATGATAAGAGGAAAACGAATACGAATAATTTAGTTACTTAACAATTATACAATAGGAAATATATGTATCACATGGGTTCATAAATAGTACTCAAAGTTACCATTCATAGTTCTCCACGGGATACAACAATATCATACTGAAAGAAATATTATCCTGAATAGATATCCCATCAAAACTACACTGAATTAAAACTAATCTCATTCAATTACTTATTTTTTAATATATAATAAGAGGAAGTTAATTTCATAGGTCACACCAGAGTTCAATCAATTGAAAACCTCGTTTAACATTGTAAAGAAAATTTCATATCATTCATGTTCATTATGATACCAAGACATTTTTGAATTGTTAGGTCTTGAGTGAGACACATAACACTAGATCGTTATAACTATGATAAGTTGCAAGCCCATTTGCAAATGATTTTTCTAGAGTTCATGAAGTAAATTGTCGTTGAACATCTAGTCACAAATATTCACAAACTGCCAAATTAAAATGTCTGTAGTGTTTACATCTTTTGATTCTGGTGAAGTTGTATTCTCGAAACTGGATCGTATGCTAACGATAAAATCCACTTGCCTTAAGAATATTCTTTCACATTAACCATAATATCTCCGTCAAAATCAGTCAGTCAGTCAATGAAATGATACCATATTTTTCTTCAAGGTAAGCTTCTTTGGACGATGAACATATGGTAAAATGATCTATAAAGATTTAGACAACGAGGAAGATTAGAAAGACTTGACTTTAAATAGCAAAAATGAGTTGTTTCAAGACGTGAAGCCTAAATCAAATTATGAAATGTCGAAATAATGTTATACGAAACTTTTTCAGTAACTATAGATTTTTTTCATAAAGAAGAATACCACTTTTAAAATAAAAGTAAATTGTATCTCTGTAATTCCGCTTGACTTGAAATATTGGATGATAATTTCAAAGAAATATAATCAACATTCAACGACAATTTTAACCATAATTTTCACGTTAAATAACAAAGTCTAAAACATTGAATCTTAATATTTAATCAATTATCAGTGGTCTATCGGTCAAGTGCTCTGACGCGAGACTGGTAGGTCTTCGCGAGGTGGGATCGTGGATGCTCACTGTTGAGGAGTTTCACAATAGGACGAAATAGCCGTCCAGTGCTTCTAGGTTTACTATGATGGTCTAGCTTCAATTGACTCATGATTTCAAGTATATATAAAAATTATCAGTTAGTTGAAAACAGCCAGAAATCAACCCTGAGCATAGATTTCGTACCAACGCCTATAAACAACAAAATAATGTACCCAAATAATGAAACATGAAAACAGGAAGATAGATAAATAGATAGATAGATAGATAGATAGATATACAGGGTTTTATTTACCAACCATTAAGTCAAACTAGGTCATGTTTCGTATTCAAAAAATTAATTGATTTTTTACATGACAAAAAATACACCTACAAGTAGTTATATTTAGTATATGTTAGCTTGCGTGCAAAGTATGTGCTTGCACATACAATAACTGAAAGTGATTGGTCAAAAGTCAATTTTTTTTGGGTAATTTTATAATCAGGTGATATCGTTAACTGTATTAACAAAAGTCTACTAATATGATTATTAGAATCATTTAATATAAAAGATTAGGATTAAATGCCGCTTTTTCGGATTTTCATTCATTTTTCATTCAATTAAATTTAATTCATACATAGAAAATGAATGAGTAAGTAAAGATTGCTATTTTGCATTAGAATATAATTTTAAATAATCATTTTTCTATTGTGTAATCAATGGGTATTTCTTAGCCATTTATAGTAAATATTGTACTATAGAAGAATGAAATAACTGTGTTAATCTTTATAGAATATATAGAATGTGTCTAACAGTGTGATTCAAGAATACTTGTTTCGTCGTACTTGAGACTCGTTAACTGGATGGATTTGTACCAGTGTTGATGATTTCAATCCTTTGAAGTAATTATACAAAAATTTCGTCGATATCAAATATTAAGTGTTATTAATAAAGTTGGGAGTGTGGCTAACAAAAAAGCTTAAGATAGTCCAAATTTGAAACTCGTCAGTTGGGTTCACCTGTCCCGTAACTGTTACGTTTGGCCGTTCGTGAACGCTATATTCGCTTCCCTAAGCTAGTTCCGTACCACCGAGCTAGAACTATACACCGACTTGAAGACCAGAGAAAAGGCACAAAGTGTGCGGGAAGCACTTTACTACAGGGTTGCTTTATGTACAGAAAATATAGGGATTTTATAGTAATTTAAGAGTCCTTGAGTTTTTACTGAAAGTTCTAGAGTACTGCTAAACATAGTAGCAGTGTATAAATCAGCCAATCAGGATCTCCACATGTAACTTTTCCATTTTCGTTATTTTAGAACCATAACTTCACATAACTTCTAATTAATCGCTGATTGCTTGAAATGCTCCTTGATGACCCTTGAGCTTGTTATGTCGCTTGCGAGAAAATTGCAGGGTCATCCCAACAATAACTAATGGTAATATTGAGGTAACCCACTCATATTGTACACATATCAAAAAACGTTGATCAAAATTCAATCTTAAATAACCATGGCATGGTTCAAAACCATAATAGTAATAAGACAATGAAAATTGTACTCTTTTTCGTCAACAGTAATGATGTGTGAAATGTTTGGGAGTGTACCATATTATCACAAATCATATAAGATATGAATTGGTTAATTGTATATTCTTAAAGCTATAAAATATATGACATGTGAAATGAATAAAATAAATCACCATGCTGTGGGAAAAACATATCCTACCAACTATTCCCAACCACATGACATCAAAATCTAGCACATATAATTCCAAGTCATCTAGATTGGTAGACCAAATTGTAATTTGGTTGTTAGAACTCGATTAGGACTGAAAAGCTAGATAAATATGACATCAGTCACTTTTCTGTGATCAATCAATTGTACACCTCACAACATATTTCTAGAATTTTCACATGTGATACAAGTATCTCTCTGTACCCGTGAATATTGATTTCTTTTAATGGGCATCATTTGAATACGAAGCAAGTGAGCTACATGGCATATTTTTGGTGTAAACAACAGTCTTATTTTCCTTATAAACTACGTAATCCTTTGATAATAGTTAATCTTTCGAAATTAGAGAGGTTCAATTTTTTAAATTAAACTGCATCAAAAAATGCGCCAAAATTGTTAGGAAAATAGATATATGACACAAAATTCCATGTTTTTATGGATCTCTCTGAGAAATACACAGTGAACTATAATTAGATGAAACATTTTAAGCTTTTAATCGGCTTTTGAAGACTTTCCCGAAGTTGTTTTTGATTCTCTTAACATACATAACTTATATTTCCTTCATGATGAGACAATATGGAGATTGATAAAACGTTCAATGGAAAGTACTAATTACAAGACATGTATTTGAAAAAGACTTCGCCAATTTTCTGTATCAGTTGTGTAAATAATTCAAATATTCACTTAACTTAAGAAAACTGGTCATCAACTGACTGAGTACAGCTCGAGTATCACTTATTTTATCTATGTACTCATTGTGCGTAACAATCCTTACCTTGGCGGGAAATATCTATTTTCAACACATCTACGAGATATTGACGGTGGACGTTTTGGTGGGAAACACACAGTGATAGAAATGTAGTTCACAATGAGACATCATACAAGAGAATTCTGATAGACAAGGACGTATTTCAGATAAGCAATAGGTTATATACGTATCTCTGCAGACAGTGTATGATACAAATTTCAATGGAAGTAGAAGATAGTCTCTGTTAGTTCAAATCTGATCTGTTTATATGGTCACAACATTCTCCTACAACGTTTTTAAAGAATTGACAGAGTTTTGGTAGTAATAAAGTCCAGGTTATGAATTTCGTCTTACGTGGGACTAATCAGCTGGGTGTACCTGCATCTTAGGGTTTATGTTCACCCAAGTACTCAAATCTGTGCTTTAAATACATTGTCCACTAAGCTACTAAGTCCAAATAGCCACTGGCTTGTTCAGTGGGTATAACTTTTGCATTATTATTATATGTTTAAATAGTCTCGTTATTGGTATTCTTGATTTCATTTAATTAGTTTAAGTTGTCATAAATGCATCCTGGACAAGTTGTCCCGATATAGCCATTTTATCAAGTTTTTTAAAGAATCGTGTCTAATAGTACAGTGAAAAGGTACTAGATTTCAGTTCCAAGATGAATATTAACAATCATTTGGTGAGTACCAAATAAGACGGAATGCCTGATTTAAATTCCACTGATAACTACATTCCATCTGTTGTATAAAAACGTGTGACATAACTACTGTATCGAAGCCGTCATTACAGAATTTACATATCTCAACTAAAACTAATCAAAATTCAACTGAAAATACCAACAACGGCACCATCCATATAAATTATTAGTCAAATAACTTTTCCATAATATTTCTTTCTGATCTATGTTCCAGATATAGAACATGTACCATGTTATTTAGTTAGTTATCTAGGTACACAGATGTTCATTTTTCAAATTTCCCATCGAATCTCTTTGTTATCAGACATATTATCATGTCTTACTTCAATACATATTCCAACTCACTAATTCTTTTCTCCAACTGAATATGTCGAGGAAACTGAATTGAATAAAACATCTTTAAAAATAGGTGTACTTTTAAGTAAATCACAATAAAAAATAAAAACTGATCAATGACATTTTTGTGTATTTCAAATTCCACATAGAAATTCAATTTTCACAGTGGAAAAATACTTTAAAAAAATTAGTGACAGAAAGGACATACCGGTGGAATGTTCATTTCACAAAAGAAGTGAAGAAGAGAAAAAGAGAGACGAAAGTTTTTTTTGAATAAAATTAATATTTTCAATCTTTCAAAAGGTTAACTGATAATGGTAAAAAAAATCACATTAGCAACTATCTTAATTTTATATTTTTGTATACATACGATCTGAAAAGTGACATAACAGTGGTCACCTTTTTTTTTAAAATAATTTTTCGTTGGATACAAAAGAAAGTCAAACAACTTTTTTCATCTTATACATTAATGTTTAACAATGAAACAATCAATAAGACACTTCATTTTTGTATATTGAACTGTCGAATCAAAAATTTTTGTTCTATACCATTGTCTGTTTATTGATTAGTAAGAAAAATGTCATAGTTGTCTAGTCAATCAGAGTTGATACATATAGTATCTTCTTAGTGACTAGTAAATGATCATATTAGATAATTAAGTTTATTGTAAAATTAAAATGAAGGAGAAATTATTCTATGAAGAGTAATGACTTCAAAGAGATAAGTTTCAACTTAAGTATGTGTTATGATCTACTATCTCATTCAATAGATCTGCCCGTTACTAATGCTTCATCAAAAGACTTATTGTTAAATGAGGAATAAAACTAGTTGTGATCTAGACGTGTTTTCCGATGTTCAGATTGACTCAGTTATCAACATAATGACAGTGATCTATGCTATATAAGTAATACACCTATCCTTTCACCTATTCAATCGCACATATACATTATTTACAATGGACCGTTAAACTATTGTGCGATCAACTTGATCTCACTCAGTTTATTAAACAACTGAGTATTATTTAAGGAATAATATATAGTGATATTATTCATCCATCAAACGTTTTAGGTCAGTGTTAATTTCACCTTCGAAATGACGATCAGTTAGAGTTAACTCACTTCAATATCATGTCTGTTTCAATTTTCAACTGAAAATATTTTCATAGATAAATCATAGGTTTCATTATTCACCATTCAAGTTTAAATGTTCTCGGTGGATAAAGCGACGGCGTTTGAAGCGAAAGGTACTGGGTTCGAATCCGAGAGTGAACATCAACTCTGAGATGCAGGTAAATCCAGCTGACGAGTCCCAAATAGGACGAAGCGCGCGTCCTGGATTCCACTGCTAGCCACTATCCATCTTTGCATAGAATGCTTGTGAATTCAGGCTATATTGAGGCAACACGCATAGTATGTAGATATGCCAATAAGAGACTGATCAATTGCAGTCCTAAACATCAATGGGAAGATTCAAACAAACAATACTAAGTGAAATTGTTGAAAAAAGACTTCAAATTATAAATAGTGATTCATTAACTATTTAATCATTTGTTAATTTCGTGGACAGCTTATATGTATTCTAGTAAGTATTCTGAGAATTACAAAGACAAAATAAACAAAGATTTTTTGTATTCAATTAAAAAACTTAGCAGTTGATGAGTACATGAAGACTCAAAGTAAGTCCATATCAGTTGATACATTAATCATTACAAGGTTGATGAAGTGGAATACAAGTTACAGTTTGGGGTGAATTGTACTGGTGAAGTTATGTTAACATAACTGAATTTTATATAGTTGAGATCATGAGTCAGTTGAAGATAGACCACCATCGAGAACCTGGAAGTACTCGAAGGCCGCTTCGTCCCATTGTGGGACTCCTCAGCAGTGTGCATCCCCGATCCCCCCTCGCGAGCGAGATTCGAACCCAGCAGTCTTGCTCCAGAGCACTTAACCGATAGACCACTGAGCCGGCATCCAACGGTGGATTGTTTAGCTTAGACATTAACACTGTTGGATGCCGACCGGCATAATAGTAATCTTAACAGGGAAAAGGGTAAAATGTATATGAAACTCCACTAATTTCCCATTTACATTTGCTTTAAATCGATAAACATCATGATGACTAATT